GGCAGTGCAGTAAAGTGGTCACGTGATACAGGCGGAGACACGTGACCAGTATACTGCTCTGCCATTGGTGATAATTCTGGTCACGTGATTTAAGTTTAAGATTTTCTAAATTTTACATATATGAACTTTCGTATAATTTTAACACAGTTTTATATCAATTTCTTGAGACAGGAACATCAGATAAAACTTTCATGGGTCGCGATCAAGAGCTAAAGTGATTAGCTTTCAGCCTATACCCACTTTCATTTTTCCTTTACAGTCCCTTTAAATAATCAGTATTTAAAATGAAGGGCCTCTTTAAATTCCTCAATAATAATTGTTTTTTCCAACCTTTTAAAAGAAATTCCCAACCCATATATCAAAAATATTTTGGTCAATCTCAAGATCATTAAAAAAAATGTCCAAGGGGGGCTTAAATTTGTTATCTTTTCAGGGCCAGGGGGGCTCGGCACCCGTTTGGGCCTGAAAACCCGCTGGAAACCATAGTTAACTGAACCAGGGGGGGGGGGGGGGCTGAGCCCCAACACCCCTACTTCTTTTCGTTGGTCATTCTATAATCTTTATGTACTGTATGACCTGATAGGTTTAAAGTTGGTACTTCCAGGTATTCTTGTAAGAGCAACATTGAGACCATCAATAACAATATCAAATCTTCCTTTTTCCTTTAACATCTGCTGAAACCTAGACAGCTCTTGGGGACTTGTAGATTGGTATATATCCTAAATAATTGGAACTTTCTATAAACACTATACAGGATTACCTAGAAAAGGATGAGAACGACCTGGAAAACTCTTCTCAGGTTAGGTTAAGTCTTCTGTCTTAGATGTAGAATTTTGGTGATTTTTTTTTTAATGATTTTTCTAAGAACTAAACAAATTTCTGCAATATAAATTCCTAACAGTCTATCTGAAATCTCATACTTAGTGGGTAACCCTGTATATCATGTTTGTTTGTTTCTAGTATGTAATAAAAGTCAATAAGACTGAACCGATCAGGTTAACAAATAGAACCTCAGATTGCTCCAAAGGTATTCCACTACATTTCATATCTTAATATTTAATATCGAATAAGAATTAGAATTGCAGAAATATGAGAAACAGAAAACTAAGATTAGAGAGAGGACGCGCGAAGCAGGGGCGGCGTACTAGGGTGGGTGGGCACCCATATAAAACATACTTTAAAATCTTACTTTAGCCCTTAGCTAAAAAAGTTTTATTTAAAAAGCTTTAATCAATACTGCCTTCAGTGTAAATATATATTTGATAGCATTACTTATAATGATATGTATCGTTTCTATGAAAATATAGATGTTTTGAACAACTTTATTTTTCACCCATTGAAGCTTACACCACGGTATTAAGAGGAAGTGTCTGATGAGTCCACTTAGAAAAATTACATAAATAATTTATTGATACTTGTTATATGGAAGTGTGTATACTGTATATGATCGAATAGCTTACATAGTTAAAAAAGTATCAATATTTTTGTCAAAAAAGGGGTACTGAAGGGGGGCACAATGTTGCCAAGGGGGCAGGGCAAAAAAAGTGCCCCCCACACAAATACTCTCGTTCGCCCCTGGCGAAAAGCTCCGGCCCTTTGTAGTTAATTTTAAATAACTGACATGGACCAAAGAATGACAAAATAAAAACCAGTTTTGAAGTAGAAGCTACACGGACCTTTCTTTTGAGGAGATGGTGAAGGATAGATTGGTTGAGATGTTTAAGCTCGTCAGCTGTAACAGAACTAGGATCCAGAAACTTATAATTTTATAAATTTTCAAGGGGTTTTATATGATTTTAACGTTTCTGAACTCAGTGTTTTAAATATCAAGATGGCTATTTTTGAAAACCATCTTGATTTATTTATAAAGCTCAAATATTTTTTAAACGGTATCAAAAACCCTTTGTTATAGAAAATGTATTCAAATATTTATATATATTTCTATTTCCAGCAAAGGAGCGTAAACAAAACTCAAATTCTGCCTTTTTAATTAAAATCAGCCCTTTAAAGAGACTGTAAGCGTAAGTTCAAGCTACCCTCCATTTAAAGAGGGGCATCTTCGATTTAAAGGACACCCTTTTTAGATCGGGCATTGCTCTCTTAACATGGAGGGTAACTTGAAATTGTACTTAAGCTCTAATCTAATGTCGTAAAAAGGACCTAATCTATCTAGATTGGTTGGATAGAGTGGAAACCATGTTGAGTGATGAAGAGAAAACTCTGGTTGAGAGATCAAAAGATTGGGTTTATATGGATAGGCTGTTGAGTAATGAAGACAAAGCTAGGATTGAAGCCTTATTGAGTAATGAAGAGTTTTTAGCATTACTTTAAGTAAAACACACGTAAAAAGGGTTGAATCTTGCAGTAAATCTCAGCATGGGAAGCATAATACAACAGAAAGTCTGGTTCAGAACAGGAAGTGAATCATATACCAGAAGTCAGAGAAAGAAAACTGGAAGACAAGAGCTTTGGAAACCCGAAACCCATGCCTCGTCAATCATAACAAGAGGGATTGAGTTGTATCTTGCGAGACAGATACCTGTTAATACAAACTGAGTCGTATCCGGATTGATATTGACTTTGGTATTCATTGAACCGTGAGTTCCTGATTGGTTTGTACCTGGAATGAAACGTGTCTCAAAGACTTTGATGGAGTAGGGCATTTACTACAACGTGGCCAGATTTTTAAAAAATTCATCTTCAAGAATCCAAAACTTTAAAATGTGGCTCGGACGAGAAATTGTTGTGGCTGGCCTTCCTCCCCTGGTTAAATAATAGAGCAAAACGGGATTAAATTCAAATAAAGGGTAACCCCAAAAGGATGAGAATTTAGAGACTGACTGTACAGAATTTATTCTGTTTTTTACTCATATTTGTGATTTCCATCAACTATAAACTTCTTTTTTTCTTTTTCAATTCAATGACTAAGTCATTTAAAGATCAAATCAGATGACTTAATCCTAACTTAGGATTGTCATATTTAAAGAGTTTCAAGTCGTCTTTACAGTCTCAGTTTCCCCACACACATGTCATTGAATCCACACAAACATCATTGAATGCTCCACCCCCTCTCATCCACAAAAATATCATTAAATGCCCCCCCTTCCCTCTCATCCAAACAAATATCATTAAATGCCCCCCCTTCTCTCATCCACACAAATATTATTAAACGCCCCCTCCCTTATCCACACAAATCATTAACCCCCCTTCTTCACTCTCATTTAATGAATTAGGGTGGGTCTAATACGCACATTTTCTTCTACAAAACGTACGTTGTGAGATATGTCGGATATCTCATTCAGAAGGTACTATCCGAAACTTCAAAAACACGCCATGTACTTGCTTGAAATCATACTTTTTAACTGTCGCTAGACTTATGAGCTCTAATCCACGCAAATAATATTTAACGCCCCCCCCTGNCCCTCCACACTCTCTTATCCACACAAATATTATTAAATGTTCTCCCCCCTTCGCATCCACAAAATAACATTAAATGACCCCCCCCCCAGAATTAGGGTGGGTCTAAATAATACGCACATTCTCGTCTTCAAAACGTATCTTTGAGAGTCTGATCTCGTTCAGAAGGTACTATCCGAAACTTCAAAAACACGCCATGTGTACTTGCTTGAAATCATATTTGTTAATTGTCGCTAGACATGAGTTAAATGTTCTATATAAAGGTGCGACCAGAAAATTAATTTCTACAGTTTATCTTTGCGTAGCTAACTATGAAGAGCTTAGCGGTAAGTCAATGTAAACTGTTAGAAATTTTGATTTCGGTTTAGCGAAAATCTTTGTGGGGCCTGGGATACAGCAGTACAAACTATGGTTTTAAGGAACGAAAATGCCAAACATAGTCAATTGTCCAAAACTGATACTGAGCATCAGTTTTCGGCATAAATTGTATGAGCCTATGACTTTTAGAAAATTTGATTCACAGACATAAAATATTATATGAACAACTATGAGTTTCAGTGGGAAAAAGTTCCAAACCACCATTAGGGGTCAAAACTGACATTGACATTTTAGAACTCTCCCCATGTCGAGGTCGATTTTTAATTGCAGTAACTATTTCCATCATATTTTTCAGCATGGCACGAACTACTATTGAATCAAACAACAGGTTGGAACTTCCTTCCCAAGATTTTTTGTATTGAAATTTAATAATACGCTAAGTAATTTTCAATGGTTTATAGTTGTTATAGTGCATATATCTCATTAAGCCAAAATAAAAATTCAGTTTTAAGATTTTTCAAATCAAGAAAAATGGAAACCCCTGTATTGACAGTATGATGGATAAGCTTTCTTACTAATCTTTACATTTTTACTGGGAAAAATCTGGTGACAAAATTTAACCCTTTCCTGGTGTCAAAATTCCAACTTTTCAGGGTGTACTTATTTTTTGATAATCCTTGACTTCTAACTTAATAGTTAAGGTGCTGGAAGGTCTAAAAAACCTATAAAAAATATGATGCAAAATGTAAAAAAATGAAATATTAAGCTCCCAGAAATCCCAATATATGGTTTATTTCTAGGTGTTGCTTGTTGTTCTGGGGTCCTCCCTGACTGCCCCCCAATATAAGAACTATATGTACTCTTCCTATCCTGGACATGCTAAACCATACTACTCCAACTACATAACTTCAAAGTATTATGCTCCGCAACAATTTAGGAACTATGGCCCAGCTCTCCAATTTAATCCAGCAGCTTCTGTTGCTTCCTATCCTTCTGCTGCCTTAAAAAAGATAGATGCTGGACCTCACAGCTCTGCTAGTGCAGCAGCAGCTTTGGCTTATATGAAGAATTCTGACGACCAGGATATTTGCTCTAAGAGTAGTCTTTCCTTCCTTCAGGAGATTGTAAATGGAGGAACTACTGAATCAGCTACTGCAGTTGCTGAGACTGTTTACAGATCTGAATATAACAAGGGATCTCAACCAACCCCTGGTTCTCCTTGTCAGCTAGCTGAAGATGCATGGAAGACTGCTGTGTCTAAGGGAAAGAATCCAGTTCTAGATGCTGCTATTGCATTCATGGATAACTGGCAAGGCATGAAAGAAGGAAACCCTTGTGCCGTTTCTGGACGGGCATTTGTTACTGAAGTACTAAAGGGATCCAGTGAGGCTGATGCTCGAATTAGTGCTGCCAAGGGGTTCTCTGGTGCACTAAAGCAGCTTTCTGCGGAAGGCAAGGAGCTAAGGGATCCTGCATGTGCTGCTGCAACCAAGGCATTTTACCAAGCTTTACCTACCAAACCCTCTGTTGCCAATGGAAAAGCTATGATAAAGTTTGTTGAGCAAGCTTTCTCTGGATCTAGTTTTGAATATGATCCTGTTTGCTGGAAAGCAGCTGAAGCTTTCATTGACTCCTTTGCTGCCGGTAATACTGATAGCACATCTAATCTGGCAGCAGCTGAAGCAGTGTTCACTGAACTGACCACCAATGGAGCTTCTGGGATTCCTGCAGATTCACCATGTGTTGCTGCAGCCAATGCTTACTACACCAGCCTGCCTAGTCAAGCTTCCTCCTCCAACACTAGAGCATTTGAGGCAGCAATTCAGAGTATGATTAGCCAGGGTAGAGTTGTTCCAGATCCGGTTTGTATCTCAGCTGCTAGAGCTTTCTGGTAAGCTTATTATTATCAACAACAGACAA